GTATGTTTGTAGTAGTATCTTCCGCTACAAAAAAAAAGTTAAAAACCAGTTTCTTATTTAAAATTAACTCAGCTTTCTGAAAACAAATACTTTTTTTTTCTTTTCTTTTACCAGAAAGTTATAAAAACTTTATTTATGATCTAAAAAGTATTTTTTTTTTGTTGCTCAAAATTTGAGAATTTTTATTATATTTTTTTTCATAAAGCGGAAAAAACTCTACAGAAAATGTGTAAACTATCATGAGATCTGCATAAAAACTCTTAGAAACACAAACAAAAGAGCTAAAAATTCATAAAAAGGTCAAAGAACTAAAGTATTCAAGTTGAAATAATTACATGTCAAAAGAAGATTTTTTCCCGTTTTATCGATTTTTCTATTTTGGCCATTTTCATTAAGCTTTTATTATATGTTAATTATATTGTTTTTTTAACTCTTGTTAATTTTGTATTTACATAAAGTAGAAACATTCGAATCACATTTTCAGAAAAAATGTCGCTTCAAAGTCAAATAACTAAATTATCATTTTTAAAGAAAATGTTAACAGCTTTATTTTTGTATACATATTATCTTCATATCCGTAAAAATAATAGAAATCAAGATATTTGCGAATTTACCATGTTTGCGTCTCTGCACGTAACCACAAGAACAACATAATAATTGTCAGTAGGAATTTTAAGGATTTGTTTAATACAATTTTTTTAGATTTTTACGAACATAACAATAAAATTAGCTAAAATGGTTCAGTTGTTCTCAAAGTGATCTCCAACGAGCTTAACGGTTTTTCTTCGTTCTCCCCTAGCGCCCATGAGTCCCATAAGAAGCTAAAAAAATGTATTGAAAATAAATTCGAACTTGACCATTTTTTTAGAAATACGCCCTAGACTTATAATATCTCATAAATTATTAACCATGTAAAACTCAAATAAATAAAATCAAAGTGTATTGGTATTAAAAGAAGCTTTGTTCTTTAGATTAGAAAAATCGGATTTTTTTATAAATAGATCCCAATGAATCAATCCTAATCTTAATATTTGTTTGGTATTACCTTCTATAAATGAATATCGTAATAAAATTATTTATATTACGTGTTTGTTTAAGTTTCGTTGAATCAGACTTCGATTTAACACATATTCAAAAAAAGAAACATCAATTAGAAAACTAAACACCGTTGCTGAAATTAAACAGGAGGTCGATGAAATTGACAAAGATTGTTTTTTTGTGTCTGAGGTAGAAAATGAAGAATACCAGGAGTTAGCAGACATCAAGGACGACGATGTGCAACTTCATTACATCAAGTAAGAATTGAATAAATATATATATATATTGTACATATTATATATTAAGTTATTATCATAATATTTTTATAACTATTATTTTTTGCAAAACACTCATTAGTAATATGAAATACAATCAAATTCAAACTGAAGAATTTCCATTCAGATCGATTGAACAATGCATTATTTCACACACAACTGAGAAACCATTTCAATGTGAATTAGGCTGGGAGATATCAACATCTGGGGATCTAAATAAGCACAAAAGGCCACAAACAGGCGAGAGGCTTTTTCAATGTGAGATATGCAAGAAGACATTTTCACAATTTGTAGTTCTGAAAACCCACATAAGAAGACATAATGGCGAAAAGCCTTTTCAGTGTGAAATATGTAAGCAGAAATTTTCGAAAACTGGAGATCTAATTAAGCACAAAAAGAGGCATACGGGTATAAGGCCTTTTCATTGTAAGATATGTAAGAAGACATTTTCAAAATCTGGACACCTTAAAACACACAAAAGGACACATACCGGTGAAAGGCCTTTTCAATGTGAGATATGTAAGAAGACATTTACACAATCTGGGGATCTAAATAGGCACAAAAGGACACATACTGGTGAGAGGCCTTTTCAATGCGAGATATGTAAGAAGACATTTTCACATTCTGGAACTCTAAGTAAGCACAGAAGGTCACATACTGATGAGAGGCCTTTTCAATGTGAGATATGTAAGAAGACATTTTCACAATTAGGAAATCATAAAAAGCATATAATGATACACTTGGGTGAAAGGTCTTCAGTGTCAATCATGCCGAAACATGTTCGGAAATCTAGACCGTCATGAAATTTTGAAAACTGTTGTAACTTGTTCTACTTTGTAGTAAATATGTATTTTTTGTAGACGTTTTACTATATGTGTTATGCAGTTGATCAAGAAAAAGCTTTTAATTACTTTTTTAAACTCTATTTTCATTATTTTATTTTTTCGACTTCCGCTCTCCATAAATTACTTCTTGTCACAATATTTGTGTTTACTTTCCTACCACCGATTTAAACTTATTTTATTTAAATAGTTCATTTTTATATTCTATTTGTTTTCTTTCATTTTTTCTTTATTAGATTTATATATCATTGTCGACTTGTATACATTTTCCGAATAAATCGTATTTTAGTTATATAGACAGGTCTATTATTTTAAAAAAAGGAAACTGGTTATCAATCTTAATAGAAAATAGAATTAATTAGTTACTTTAGAATATAGTCAACAATATGATATGATATCATCAGTTGCAACTTTTGTAGAACCTAATTTTTTATATTTTTGCAGTCAATTCACAGTTTTAATGTAAATGAAAATAAGAATTAAAAAGTTTAGTTTCATACTAAATTATTTATTTTATCAACCATTATAGTGCAATGTTTTGTTCAAAAGAAATATCTACAATGTTATCTAGTAAAGGGCGTTTATAGAGTCTTCTAAGTTTTGTTAGTTCTTTTAATTATACCTATAGAACAAAATTCGTACTTGAAAGGTACTTTTTTAGGCTAAATATCTAAAAAGTGTACATCTTCTCTTTAAAATAAAAAAATACGCAAACAAATTTTTTTCAACTTAAAATTACATTACGGTATAACTTTTTTTTTAAGTAGTCAAATTATCTTAAAGGTTAGGTTAAACCGGGCCGCTTTTCTTTCAATATTTTTATATCGGTCCTGAAAGGACAAAGTAGATGTTGTGTGAACTAAATGTTTTTAATAACAACTTCAATATTATTTATTATTAATATTTAGTCAATTTTTAAAATATTTTATAATGAAAAATACCAAAAAACCTAAGTTGAAAAATTAGATGATATTCTTTTATACTTTTGTATGACTACTTGGTGAATTTAGCACTAAAGTTTTTATTCGCGCAATCACTACAAATTACCGGGAAATACCGTCCTTTGAAGTATAAATAATATTATTTTATCCGCTAGTCCTGAAATTATATATTAAGTTACCTACTCCTATATTTTTATATGTGGCCTTAAATGCAAATTTTGACCAATATTCTTCCTTAGTGTAGTCAATGATTCAGTTATTAAAATTATATCATCTGGGCAGACATAAAAAAATTGTATATAAGAACACATTATTGCAAAACAAAAACATATTTTGTAGCTCACATAAATATAAATAATTTTTGTCAGTGATTGTTATGATCTTACAATAATTTTGTTTTTTTTTTGTTATTTGTATAAATATTATAATAAAAGGCTAAAAAGTTTGATAAATACTGTAAAATGTATCTTCAACTATTTTATATTATTATAAAAAGTTTAATTTAATACTTCTAAGATTTGCCTTGGGATAATATTTTAAAATAATAGTTCTGTATTTAAAAATTAGTATTTAACCAGATTTGATATAAAAATAAATAAATCAGAATTATAAAATGCTAATCCGTATTCCGTACATCAATATCGCTAAAGTGAAACGTTTTTGAGAATTACATGTGCTTAATAGGAAGCGCACTATCTGATTTTATCTTATCTGTGGCATAAACAACCACGATTAGCCGTTTGTAATACATCATTGCGAACAAAATAAAATAACAGCAGACACACACTGTAAATTTACGATTTGGCATACTTGTACCTACTTGTTAAGTATGCGTTTGAAAGTAAACAACTTGTTTTCATTGAACTGTTCACAGAGAAGTAAACACCTAAGTCGTCGCGTGTATAATTTAATAGGTCGATAAAAAAAATAAGAATGTAGAGAAAAAAATTGCAACAACAACAAATAGGCCGCTTTTCTTTTGATGCGAACAACACTAATTCTAGTTGATTAGCCTTTATAAAACTTTTTATAAAAACTAAAAACTCTATCGCGTTATGTCGCAAAAAGAGACGTGAAATATACTCCATAAGCTTAAAAAAAATCTCAAAAAAAATTTATTTTACCACTACTTAAATTGTTAGTGATTATCTTCGAAAAAAAAACCTTGTCACAACAAAATAATAACTACAAACATTATTTTTTGAATTGTACATTATTTGTACGTTTACTTAAATAATATATTTCCCGGTAATCACGAAATATAATTAAGTTTAGTAATAGTTTTTAATTTATACTTCCTGAAATAGTTTCCTTATTTTCGCTTCGATCCTCAGCCTAGAGATGCTATTGGTTTTACTATGATGTGTGCTTTTTTTAAGTCTGTGTAGAGTGTAACCCTTTCAACACTGGACCAATTCCATCGAGTAGTAACTCTATACATTACAAATCTTATCTAGTTTGTACATGACGGGGGGGGGGGGAAGAATTACACGAATGTTCAATTTTCAACTTTTACTGGCTGTCTGGTATGCCTCTACTATTAGTTAATTATCTGACACACTCATAAAAGAATGAGCATCATTAGTCTATCAGGCATCGAAAACATTAAATATTAAACAAATTAAAAACAAAATAGAAATTTCATTATTTATTTAGAATATACGACACCAGGCAATATTTTAAAACGTAATATAATTTTAATTGAAGGGTTATAATATGACATTAAATAAAATATTGTAAATTATTGAAATACTTGAATTAATATTTTTACAATAAAATACCAAGAAGTAAATTTCGACAGTGTCACATTGTCCTGTTTTCAGGACGTATCGTGAGTTGCATGTACAAAAACATTGCAGCGCTCATTGAATGACCGTCTAGAAAAAAAATATTGTTTGTTTTATAATGCGCCGTACGTTACCTATTATTAGTTAATTCGGAAAATTACTATCGGGATCATATTTTGTCTTCAAAATGAGTTCAGCGTCTTCTCCAGGAAAGTAAGTACTAGCGAGCTGATTAAATTCCAAAAAGTTTAGCACACCGTCCTTGTCCTTGTCGTACAAAGAGAACTGCCATATATGTTCCCTAACTTGTCTACTAGTCAATAATGGCGCCTAAAAAAAAATCAACATTTCAATTAATAAACAGCTAACCGACCTAATCAAAAGTAAGACCGATGTGATACTGCACACAAGCGTAATCAATATATATTATACTTAGTAACATTACATTGTTGTCGACATCTTCATTGTGCTCTGCCCAAAAGACTAAGAACTCTCGTAACTCCTCTGCAGCGGACCCTATAAGCAGATTATTAAACTTTGTTCTTATTCTAAGATGGATATATTATTTGAAATGGATACAAGAAATTTCATGTCGTTATTTTCGCTTTGACTTTCACCGAGTGATAAGAGATAAATCAATGATAAGAGATATGAGATAGATAAGAGAGAAGTGATAAGAGATAACATATCCGTGATTCAATGTTTACCTGTGGAGCGGATTCTTTTTTTGTTAAATTTTAATTATGCTTAAAATAATATAATTAAACATTATATTATTGCTTACGGACGGGCTCGAATTCCAATAGATGTTTATACTCATCGGAAACAATATGTAACTTCTGAAGTAACTCGTTTTGTTCTCGAGTAATAAGGTGGTTCAAATGAGATCTATACAGAGCGAAACATTTTTCTATCTGTGTCTTGTCTAGACCTTTACCCTAAAAAAATAACAGGTATGTAAGTGTACTGCCATCTTTATAATACAGCAGCATTTTAAGCGTGCGTACTAGGACGAATACAATTTGGTTTTACGGCTAACCGATTTCTTACTTCTGGTTTATATTTCAATATGGCCGCCAAGAACTTTTGTGCGTTAATTGATTTGACATCTAAAAATAAGTTAAAAATTCTCATGTTATTATTAAACTTCAAGCACATAGTCTATAAATCTTTACTATTAAATTCGTTCTTTATTTTATCCTTAACGTGACGTTCAAGGTTTAAACCGTTGTCAATTAGGTTCTTTAATTCGGCATAGGTAAGAAGCCCGTCATGGTCAGCTTTTTGGTCTTGTACGGTAAACATTCTCACGAAAAGTCTTACTTCATAAGTAGTCAAACCGTTTTCCTGATATTAAATAGAAACAAAATAAAAGTAATATTTATTCATTATTTTTATGCTTTTAAAAAAAATATATATAAGTAGATATATTTATTATTTTGGTATTACCGCCCAGTAGTCAGATTCCTTTTCTACATTGGCCAAATTTATTAATAATTCCGGCATAGCTTCATCATCGGTCACAGATGTTGTTGGTTCTATTGTAATATATCTTTGATTAATAAAGTTCAGTTAAAAGTATAATTATTTACCTTAACCCGGTTTTAAAGGTAAAAAGAACCTAAATAAGAACCATAAACATTTTCTTAACCATGAAAATCATTTATACCATATTGAATAACGCTGAAAAAGAGGTGGTTGGTGGAGAGATAGCATAGTGATAAGTTTGTATAGGCGCTAAGGTGATAAAAGGGTGGTGAGTATATTGTAAAAAGTCTGAAACGCCATAACACAAAAAAAGTTTGACCTAATAGCTTCCCATGTATCCAGCTTCGTCCGGGTTAATAGATACAATTGCAATATCTGATTTCTGAGAAAATTACTTTTAGGTCATAACGCATAAGGTCGTGAGTTTATACAAATATCCGTTCAGTTTTTACACGTTCAAACAACTATTCTGTGAAAAACTTATTTGGGTTACGTTGAAGTTTCGAACATTAAAAAAAAAAAATGAGCCAAAACGGTCAAGCCGTTAACAGTATTTAATTTTGATTTATATATTGTATAATTCGCAATTAAATATCCCCCCCCCCCGCTATGGTCCATTAAATATAAAAATGATCAATATCAAATAAAATGTGTTATTTAGTACTACTTTAACGGTT